ACTATCTAAATACACATTTAATACGAGTTAAACTCTGGTTAACTTTTTTTGTGGTAAGACATATAATTTTGTCACTTTAGTATTTATTTCTAAGATCCCTTTAAGGAATTAATTTATACCCTCATCTATTATAATATATCACTGATAGGTACTCATTTACAAATTGAGAACAGGGTTGCAGATAAGTTGTCGTAAGTTGCAATCACATGATTATAATAAAATCGGACTCCAAATAATACGCAACACATCCGAAATGTACGACGATGAATATTGTTTTGAATGCGGTAAATAATATTATGAACTTTTTCCACGGATTTAATGAGCGAACTGGCAACGTCGCTGTAATTTTTTTGAGGACGCCAAATACGCGGACTTGTAATCAGAAAATCCCAAAAATATACAGCTGTGGATATACGCGCTACAGCAGCGCTCTATCTGCGCTGAGATTTCTTTGGGAACTTTTCAAAATACTATAACAGCCATTGAACCGATCTTTTGGCCTCTGTCGATTTTTAACCTACGTGCAGCCAGGACCAAAAGGACCTAAGTAGCATAGGCCAAAAAAGTGGCGTCCGGTATGCGGACGCCACAAGCAGGTGGACGCCAGATTAAATGCACTTTCGCCTTCATGGGACGTCCAATCGATAGCGGGATGTAAATATATATATATATATTTATATTTAGGGGAATTTATAATATGAATTTAACCTTTCATGTGATCTACGCTAGACACAATGTATTTTCTATTTTGTCTCATATCGGTGCATTCAAGCGGTAAATAGGGTAGAATGAATAGAAATTAACTCGTCGAGTACCGTATTTATAGACACAATTAAAGAACAATAGGTTGCGGTCACCGGTGACCGCTTGGTGTTTGACAGTTTAAATATGAACTACGTACCTGTCGTGGTTCTATTTTCATTTGAATAATATTTATCATATCCAGTTGTAGCCCTGTTAGGTTGTCTTTAAGTATTTACAACTTTGCCTTCGTACTAATGAACATTCACACAGAAGGCACACATGAATTATGTCCTCGTTGACTCGGTCCAGATTGTCCAGCCTTATTACTATCTTGTTGCAAATTCTGGTTAACTGCAACCATAGACAGTTCCCAATATGCTTCACAGACACAATCGTCTTCGGTAATCTAAAAAATAGGAAAAACCATAACTTTTCTAGTATTTTACACAGCTTTGAAAAAATGCTACTGTGCCTTTTTTGACTAAAATGAATGGGACTATTGTGTGTTATTATAGAATGGTTTAACATAAAGACAGTCTTACTGAAGTTGCAAGCAGTACAATAATTTACTGGTCATTATCGAGTCGTACACGATCTGAAGATGGTTTTTCTGCAGTAAAAAGTTATAGCTACGAAATATTCTTATAAATTATAGTTTAAAAACTTACGATTTGTGGATAAACCCAGTTGCAGATCATGGTACACACTCTTGTGTTTTGATCTAAGATCCGATATCGCCGAAGGGTATTGACGCAAATGTTGCAATTCGCGCACAAAATGCGTGTAGGCCTGTTACTTCGCATCTTCACAAAAGAATTGAGAAACAATCGAGTCCTTTTTGGAAAAGCAACAGTTATAGTGTACTTATAGCGCAGATCGTCCGTGAGAAAGCAAAAGTCGTCGTATAAAGTCGCAGCGAATCAAGTCCAGGGGCAATGCGAGGGTCAAAATTACAGATAATTCACGAAAAAACGACGAAAAGAACAAGAACAATATTATACCAAAGCAAGCTTTGTGAATAACGAAGTTATTACGACATTTGACAGTACCACTTAGTGTTGCCATTACATTTTCTTTTAATTACTACTAATGATGATTGTGATATCAAAATAAATATATAAAATCGCGACTTCTTTCACAAAATAACAAATCTAACCAATTCTTATATGTTGTTTAACATTACAATGATTTATTTTTGGGTATTGTTGGTTTATACACGACTTTAACATTTTTTTCGACTTAATACTATTTTATATTTTTTTTATAAATGGTAACTCTAACAAACATCAACCAAAACTAGCACCGGATATAAATACAATTAATAACTTATTTCTCATTATAAATACTGAGGCTTTTACGTTTGAAACTAAAATCGTATAAAAATCAATTTAATTACCTCATTACGTTTTTCATAGGTCTCGTTTATAGACGCTTCTAAAACAATCCAGGTATAATCTCGCCATTGTTCTTTCTACCATCGGCCCTATAGTTATAGCGTAAGGTGCACAGCGGGCAATTAGACCAACTTATATTTCGTACAGTAATTTTATTGTGCCCAGGGATTGAGCCGCACAATTAAGTTTGTTTTATAATGTGTGTACCTACTGCTTAATCATTTTTTTTATTATTTTTCAGGATTGTACCCAAACAACTGAAGACTGTTGATGAAATAAAGGATCTGGAAGAAAAACTGAAATCTCATATTAAATTACTTTGGTAAGATTTTTATTCATTCTTTCTTTTTTATTTACCGACTTCAAAAAAAGAAGGAGGTAAGTAAGTACTATATGTTCGGCTGATTGTTTTTTTTTTAGTTCGTTCGCGCATTACTCCGCCATTTGTGAACCGATTTCCAAAATTGTTGTTTTTTTTTGTAAGGGTCCCATACTCCCGAGATGGTCCCATTTCCATGAGGTCTGATAATGGGATCCTAGGGAAACCGAGGGGAACTTACGAAAATTCTAGGAGCAAGTAATGCGTCTATTATGTTTTTCGATTAGGATTTTTAAACACTACAATTTGATAAGGGTCTCGAGCTGACCTGATGATGGAGCCGACAGACAGTCCAGGTCTCTCTCTCCTCAACGGTTTATATTGACTTATTTTGCTTTACCCGTTTATATTGACTTGTGTTTGACAAGTATTGTTCTTTTGAAGTCGGTTAATTAATATACTTTTTTTTTTAAGTCGGGAAAATCATCGAATGACTTCTCCCGCCTGGGTGAGGCGGAGGCGGGAGGGAGTGTCAGACTCTTACTGATTAAAAACCACCCTGTTCCTACTCCTGCACTTCGAGCCGGAGACCTGGTAACCCGTTAGGTTCTCCGCGGCTCCGTGTCGGCTTCAGCCTTATCGGGCCCGATCCGTGGTGGTCTGATGGCTCTTTGAAGTGCGCATGGAACGCGACGTGCCGCACGCTCGGGTCTGGTTCTGGTCGGGCGGCGAGCTACCCATGCTCACCGTCCGCAGAACCGAAGCATTCATACATAGGCTACGGTAACTACTTACCATCAGGTGGTCCGTCTGCTTTTTTGCCACCGTCGTGGTGTATACTGTATACATATATATATATATGTTACGGTAAGAGTGAATAATTGAAGATTATTAATAATTATCTATTATTATTAATAATTACCGAAAGTCGAGGTTAAAGTGATAAATTAATCACATTTGTCGGTTTTTTTTAATAATTTAACCCTAGTAGTGATAAATGTAATAAGTGGCCAAGGGTTGCGGGGCGAGTATGTGCCTGCAAGGACTCAAATTTGGGGGGGCAAGGCTTTCAACATTGTAACTGTACTGGCGAATGCAACTCTAATCGCTGCAAATGCAAAAAATGCACGTTCTTTGCAATTCTAAGTGCCATAAAAGTCTTTCTTGCAAAAATAAATAATATTTTTGGTTTCTTTTTTTATGAGTCTTTAATTGTTTTACTTACACAACAAATATTTGTTGAATTCTATGACAATACTTTTAAAAATTAAATTGTTGCATTTATAGGTGCTACAGAAGATTTACAGGCAAACCAAATATTATTGTTAATTATTGCTTTTAGAATTCGTGTTGATTTTGTTAATGAAACAATAATTGTTTAATTTTATTTTTGTTACAATTTTATGTACCATGAAATACTTTCTTGCTTTGTTGTTTGCTTAGTTTGCAAGTACAAGTAACCTTGTTTGTGTGATCTCTAATTAATATAATTGTAAGACTGTGTTTAATATTATAAATAAATACCTGCTGGTCAAAAAACATTGGGTTTTTATTTATTTTATTACTTTGACCAATATGTGTCGTGCATTATTAATAATTACTACTAAAAGTAATAAATTTCGATTGTTTATTCACATTTACCAAAACATGTGGTTATTATTAATAATTTTGTAAAAATATTAATAATTTCCAATTAATCAGATTTACCGTAACATATATATAAAACAATCTTTCCGCTTTATAATATCAGTTTAGATACAGTTAAGGGTTCTTTATGGCAATAACAATAGCATATCGGGTACATGGCCTCCACGATTAGATTGAGTTCGATTTTTAACATTATATAGTTGTATGGAAAGTTATACCTGTTTTTAACCGACTTCCCGAAAAGGAGCTTCTCAATTCGGCCGGTATCTTTTTGTTGCTTTTTTCATTTTATATCGACTACACAAGCCCGTAACAAAATATAACTTACCGATACTATACCTTTGGGGGGAGGGAATCATCCAATGACTTATCTCGCCCGGGTGAGGCGAGAGGGAATGTCAGACTGTTACTGACTAAAAACCTCCCCGTTTCTACTCCTGCACATCGAGCCGGGGCCCCGGCAACCCGTTAAGTCTTCCGCGGTTACGGAGCCGGATCGGTACGGACCGATACTATATACCTACATAATTATAAACAACTTAATGAACACACCAATACGTATCTATTTAAGTTTCTAAACTATCAGTTGGTAGGCAGTACAATGAATAACAGTTATTTTATATTGTTCACTTAACTACATATAACGGTTTACCTACTCACGTATATATACTAAGAAAAGCTCTACTAGTTTCGGTGCTCTACTAGTCGGTGCGACCGCACACGCTGCTCATGAGGAAGAGTCCCTCTGTGTCGCGAAACTAGTTGAACTTTTCTCAGTATATTTACATGAATTATCCGTTATTTTTGGATAATTTATGTCTCACGATAGTTATTATAATAGTACTGTGTTTGACTATTTAAAAAATGTATACTTTTTCTTTTTCCAGTTACCGAGAATGTCTAAACGATGGTATCGTTCAAGGAGGAATCATCTTATAATCATAGTGATCACTATAATATGTATTATTTATTATATAAGCGACAGTTGGCAACGAGGATTGAACATGGACCTGACAAGGAGGTACGAATTGTGCTTGATTTTTTTTGTTCTTTTCTTTACTTTTTGTGTGCTATCAGCTATTAAGAAGGGTCAATATATACTTAAATATATAAAGTAAATAAAATATGAGCATGCCGTCTTAAACTACCCACAGTTTTAAAGAAAAAAAAGTATGTAAAAAAAAACGCTAATGAAATGTATGTTTTAATGGCTGGTAGTAGTGATGTAACGAATATTCGCAATCGCAAATAGTTTTTACGATTATTGCTTGTAAGTAGTAGTAATAAGCTGTACCAGTAGTTAAAATTTTTAATTATCAAATCCCTTCGAATATACTCATAACACTGCAAACGGTATTTACAACAAATTTAATTTTAGCTAAAAATCACGGGTTACTCACGTGAATATATTGAGAATAGCTCTAATAGTCACGCGCAGTCGTGCACGCTGCTCATGAGGAAGAACCCCTCTGAAGCTCGAAACTAGTAGAGCTTTTCACGATATATTCATGTCAGTAACCCACGATTTTTAGTTAATTAGATATGTCTCACGATAGTTATTATAAAACAAATCTAATTTTAAATAAAATTAAAAAATGTTTCATAAGTTTTCAAATTACTAGTTCCGTAAACAAAATATTATAATTATATATACAAAGAAAATTTATTTACACTTTACATTACTTTTACTACTAAATTAACTAAATACGTATTATAAACTAAACTTAGAGGTATATTATATTTTTTGCATGATATTTTAAAAATGTTAACTCTATACACTAAAAAAACTTAAATAAAACGATTAGTTCAAGAAAAATATCGCTTACCACCAGGCGAAATAGTGGCCAAACGTCGGCCCATCAAATATATATATATATATACACATATATATAAATATATGTTACCAGCTACTTTCGCGCGGTTTCACACGCTCTGCTCACCTCCTATTGGTCGTAGCGTGATGTTTTATAGCCTATAGCCATCCTCGATAAATGCGCTATCCAACACAAAAAGAATTATTCAAATCAGACTTGTAGTTACGGAGATTAGCGCGTTCAAACAAACAAACTCTTCCACTTTATATAATAGTATAAGATATAAGATGTTTCTTTATGTATGTATGTATATGTATATTTATTTTCAATGTCTATAATAATATTTTCATTTACCTTTACACTAATAACTTAATGCATATACCACTTCGATGCATGTTAAAATTTTTATGCAATTCCTGTTGCAGCTATGTTTTCCTTCATTTTTGTGTACGGCTAAAAAGATTTTAGCCAAAATTAAAATCGAATTGGGCTGTAATTGATTTCTAACTACTTTATCATTTGTGAAATTGTGATAATTGAATGCATGTTAATTATAATTGACTGCACAGTTGGTGCAGTGGTTGGGCAACTGGCTGCCGCACAACGTGTCGCGGTCGATTCCCGCACGGAGCAACTCTGCGTGATCCACAGATTGTTGTTCCGGGTCTGGGTGTCATGTGTATGTGGACTTGTACACGACACAGGAGATAATCCTAGTGTGGGGCAACGATTTATGGAAAAAATACAAAAAAATCACTTACCAATTTAACGGTCCAAGGAGTCGCATACGACATACAAAAAATTATTGAAATAAGTTCCTGTGTTACAGGGACATTTCTGCTGCAATTTTTTGGCTCTAAATTCTATTAAAACTAAATGAACGTATGGCAAAAATCCTAACTTTGAAAAAAGTAATGGACTTGAGGTACACACGGCTACACATCGAGCTTTACATAACCAGTATAAACTGAACGTCGAATGTGCGGAAAGATGATGCGACGCGACACCAGGATAAACTGGTTTTGTATAGATTGATGTGTGGCCGTGTGTATTTGTAAATTTCATTATATGGGGACAGTTAAGTTGTTAAATTATTTTTGGTTCAAACTATACCAAGGCCGAAATTCAATTTTGGTTAAAATCTTTTAGGCGTAGAAACTTTTTCCCATGGTGATTGGCTGGTTTGAAAATATTCGCTCTTATTGCATTACCACCGACTTCCGAAAACAAAATTTCTTGTCCAACAACTGTTTAGAGAAACCCAGAAACAGAACCTGGTATAGTAAAATAATCCCAAACTGATAAAATAATTCAATAGAATAGAGTAGTTGCCAGGGTAATAAAATTAAAAATCTGATTTGTTCGTCAGTTTCATAGCGAAAAAATATTAAACACATATTTTTTTAAAATTCTCGTATAAAGTTACAATAATTAAATAAAATGGAGTTAAGTTTATGAGAGGGAGGTAGTTACGTCACAACGTGCTACATTTTGTAGCACGCTGTGATGTCAGACGACATTTAAAATCAATATATCGTCGAAAGCATTTAACTTTGTGAGAAAAGGAAATATACGTGTCTAATTTTTTTAAATAATCTACCAGACGGACATTGAAATAAAATTTAGGAAACATCCCTATTTCAACTACATTGGCTTTGTAATAAAATCGAAAACAATTAAACTCGTTTCTTTGCGAGACCTATAGTCACTTGGCTAGCTGAACATAGAGGAGTAGAACATAGAGGATATTGAATGAAGGCCACGTCCCAGTAAGACGTACCAGCAGGATGCATATATTTAGTACTAAAAATACAATTAAATATGTATTGTGTTGATGTGGTAATCAAAACTAGTTCATATATCGTTAGAATAACTATTAATATCCCATAATTTATTGATTGATTATTTTGATTTCGACAGTCCGGATGTTCTGTTTTTTTTTTGTTTTTATGGTGATGGTATGACTAAGACAAGCTTTGGTGAATTGGTAAGTTTAATTCAATGTGCAAAATGTACATGTTTTTATTTGTTTCAATTTTTTTCACTTTGCGATAACTATAATCTTTTACCGGAGGCCCAATTACCACCCCGCCCTTGTCTCCCGAATCCCTGAATCCTCCACAATCCTCAAATTCCCAATTCCCAAAAGGCCAGTAACTTGTAACGCCTTGGTGTTTTGGGTGTCCATGGGCGGCGCCGATTGCTTACCATCAGGTGATCCGTCTGCTCGTTTAACGGCTTATGCTGTATAAAAAAGAAAAGAGTACCACGTTTCTGTTTTGATATCCGCAAAATCAATTTTGTCCATAAATTCAGTATTAACTCGTCGAGCGTCCGCGTTCCTTATGATCCAACGGGTGCACACGTGACATTTGGAGAAATAAAGAAAGAAAGAAAGAAAATGCATTTATTTGGCCATTGGCACACGAAAACAAGGATCATTACAATAGAAATAAAAAATACAGTCAAAATAAAAACAAAACATTAATAATATATTTTATAAAAGAGAAAGCAGCATGGAGCATTTTTTCTTATGATCCACCGGGTGCTCATATAAGGACACTCGAGGGGTTAAAAGTTCAGGGCAGCCGTGAGAAAGAGGTTACCGGAGGCTCAACCCCCCCTCCCCCCAACACAACTGGTGTACCAGTGCATCATAATATCATTCTCAAGTCAACCCCCAAAAGGCCAGCAACGGACTTGGTAGCTCTGGCGATGCAAATGATTAACCATCAGGTGATCCGTAAGCTCGTTTGCCGCACTATAACATAAAACAACCTGTTTTATTTGTATATTGATTTAGTTTTTCTAATTCAACCAAGTCTTTGAATGTAATCGTTAGTACACTGCTTACCCCATGGTCAGAAGGTGAAGGTTTCCTAACATAAGCTTGTCTTAGTCATGATTAACAGCTTGCAATCATTTTGGTTGATTTTTTTATTTTTTTTTATCTTTATGTAGAACAGAAAAGCCCGCTGATCCTATCTCGGTTGTGGTTCCAAGTAAAATTGTACAAAAAGGTATTAAAAGGTGAGAGATTGTTAATTTTCTTTTTTTTTTTCATTAATTAGTTCGCATTAATCACTTATACCTGTAATTTATAATGAATTGGAGATGGCATTATTTGATTGTAGGACAAAAAAGTCTATTGTGAACTGAAAACTGTCCCGAAAAACAGTTTGTCCAAAATGATTTAATAATATTACACATATTAAGTTGACGACTGACGTTGAATATCCGCTCGATGGGAACACGTTACATGCCGAACGCGGTACATGTCGAACGCGTTACATATCGAACGCGTTACATGTCGAATACGTACATATCGAACGCGTTACATGTCAAATACGATACATGTCGAACGCGTTACATATCGAATACGATACATGTCAAACGCGTTACATGTCGAATACGATACATGTCGATCGCGTTACATGTCAAATACGAAACATGTCGATCGCGTTACATGTCAAATACGATACATGTCGAACGCGTTACGTGTCAAATACGATACATGTCGAACGCGTTACATGTCAAATACGATACATGTCGAACGTGTTACATGTCGGTACAAGGAGCCAAGCAGCTCGATACAAGTATAAATCTTCAAGCGAATATTCACATTGAACGAATATTCAACAATGTAATCGCTGTAAAATTAAAATGTGTGACTTTGGACAAACTGCAACGTACCGTAATTTTGAAAACTGAACATTAATAATACTTTTCGAATGTTAGAAATTAGCTTACAATACATTCTTAGGTACTAAATAGTGAAGTATATTTTGCCTACATTTGAAATACTTGATATTTTTAGATAACGAAATGCATGAAATGATTCTCTATTACTTAAGTTTGGAAATAATAAATGTAAAAAGCTACTAAACACTGAAGAAAAAGACTTAGTCATTTATATTAATGAGGATTTTCGATTTGGCGCTGACGAGATGCCACTAGTGGCTTAAGGTTGTATAGTCCAATCAGCTTAACACATTGGATGCCGCGTCGACAATTATGACCCACTTTACACTTTAACACTTTTTGCCGGCAGTTAGAAGCTTGAATATTGTAGGTTGACTGACTAATGTTGTATAAGCCACAAGACATCTACTGCTGAACATAAGCTTCCCCAAAGACTCCCGGTAAAATAGGTGAATAGGATTTGAGCGGCGAAAAGGGACAGAAGAGGGGTGAATCGATACTATGAATAATTTCCTCATATCTATTCATCTCTCTTCAAATTCAAAGCATTTATTTCAATTAAACCATAATTTGGTACTTTTGAAACGTCAACAAATACAAAATAAATAATAGTCTGTCAGTGTGTCCATCTGTGAAGCTAGGTGCTTATTCCAAAATGTAGATTCGAATGGAGAAGAACAAGCAAGAAACTCCATTCGTTACTCTTTTTAAAAAAGTATGTTCTACAATGTCTCTGATTCATATTTCAATACTGTACGCATATGTAAGAACAATGCAAAGACACGCTTGACGCATTATACTAATTACTTATTAAAATAAAAACAAATAAAAATCTTATAGTCTAACATCTTATGTTCCTATTCTCCTCTCGATCCCTATTCACCCCGTTTTACGGTATAGGTCGGTTGAAAGCGATCCATCATCTCCATATTAGCAAATATTCTATTACCACTAGGCCTCAAGCTACAATTTAGCGCCGTAAGTTTTGGAAGCTCTCCTAATAAGTAGTGGTCCTAATTTAAAGTAAATAATACCTGAAACAATATCCTAGTAGGTACAGACACCAGCGGATCAATCTACTCTTTTGTGTCAAATACCTGTATTGCATTTTATTTTGTTATAAAGTCGAAATTACAATGAAAGAAATTAGCGTAGCTTGAGCTGCTGCTGTAATACAATCTGATTATTATGTATCAGACACTGCTAAACAACTTTTACTTTTAACTCTCTGTTTGATTGTCCTTGTGCCCGATTTTAAAATGTGTATGTAGTTTGAATTGAAGCATGTTTTCTTCCCCTTATTGTCTGTTTTTTTTCTTTTCAGAAAATCTATATTGAAGTAAGTAGAATTCAGTAAGTGTGCATGGCTTTTTTTTGTCTATTTTTAGTGTTGCATGAATTTTTTTTGTTTATTGCTTGATACTTTATGATTTAAAGCCTCGTCGTCCATTTGTCGCTAAGCAATAAGCAACAATAGGGATAATGACAAATAGTCAAACTTGATATCTTTTTTGAAATGTCAAAACGGTATGTATTTCAATGAATTTTGTATGAGGTTACATAACATATTCATTTATCTTAAAAGCATAGAAAAATTCTTAAGCTAACTTAAGGTTCGTTAAAGAGTTTTTCTATACAAACTTATCATTATTTTAGGTACATTTGTTGAAATAATTTATTTTTGGTTCAGTCATCATCCCTATTGACGCGTAACATGTGACGTGTAACATGTTCTGCAGCGTTGCTCATATCATGGCACAACTTGTTTAACGTTGATGGCCTAGTAGTTCTGTGAACAGACAACAACGTTGCGCCACAATGTACTGTAACATGTCGCGTGTCAGATGTTGCAACGTGAATACAATGCTAACTTTCTCACACAAATAATCTTCATTATTTTCATCGAAGGATAAGAGTAAACAAAACAATAACAATAAATAAATAAGTTCATTAAAGTATATTTTGGAAACATGGAAATTGGGTACTTTTCTTAATCAAAAATAAATTATTTCGACTGTTCAATACAATAACATTTTAAAAAATAATCACACTCATTAATTCATTTTATGACCTACTTAATTTAAGTATATTTCTAGTAATTTTTTTTAATTGCTCTTTGACGCTAAAAAAACGTGACGTCACAATTCACAATCTCGTACAAAAATCGTAGAAAACTGTCGTGTTTGACAGTTCGAAAAAAGTATTGAATTTGAATAGTTGTCAAATACCGTATTACACAATAACATTGTATATTTATTGTTTAGTTAATATGGTATAATAATATGTTATATATATATATATATATGAGTCATATATAATTGGTTGACTGACTGACTTGGCTGACTCCCGTTAGGGTAAAAATGATCAAAATTCATTCTTATGGGATGCCCCCATCATGACATAGATATCATGCTATGCATACAGCTAGAGCTGTAGGCCAAATTTCAACCCGATCGGTGTAAAACTGACAAAGTTTCATACAAACTTTCATCCCCTCTTTTACCCCCTTGGCGGTGAAAAGGATCAAAATCCTTTCTTATCGGATGCCTACGTCATAACATCTACCTGCATGCTAAATTACCGTCCAGTAGTTTGGGCTGTGTGTTGATAGATCACTCACTATGTCAGTCAGTCAATCAGACACCATGTATACATATATATAATTATATACAGATTGTTTTCTTATACGACAAAAAATACGTATCTAATATTTTTTCGTTATCTAACTGACGAACTAATTATATTTTTAATTTTCATACCATGTGTAGTCATTCATCAAGTCATGTCCCTGTGACGGCCCGGACTTCAGTGTTCCGGTGTATTCATGGTTGTATCTACTGTAGACCCTGGCTTACTGCATTTGCAGCAATTTTGGGACGTTGTGGTACCAATACTGTACAGTTACTTACAGTTAGAGTTCTAATTCATCGGGGCACCATGGCCGCGCAACCAGTGTCTCCACCACAGTGTCCTTAAACTACCAAACTAGTATAGTAATTAGTGGTGGCGCGACCAGCGTGGATGCGTGACCAGTAATATTATGTACTGCTGTCCTGTATACGTATTATGTGTGCTGTAGCGGCGACTGGTTGCGTCGCCATGGTGTTCTGGTGAAATATAGCCCTTATTATGCAATAATTTGTAGGGATGAATGGGGGATTTTTTTTACCGTTGCCCCATTAGATTTACAATTTCACATACACATGACACACAGAATCGGAACAGCAACTCCTGAATAGCACAAAGAGTTGCTTCGTGCGGGAGTCGAATCCGCTTCACGTTGCACGGCAACCTAGCCACCACACCAACCGTCCCGTAGTTAAAGGTGCTGATAAACCTGTGCATTCAATTGTAACCGAACATCGAACGTTAGCCTTTGTGGTCGAACTGAGCTACGAACCGAACCAAACATAGAGCCAAACAATGCTACGATACGAACACTTTCAAAACGATGCAAATAATTAGGTACCTAATTCATGATTTTGTTGCAAATTCAAGGTATTAAGTATACACTTCACTTCCTCAAACGACATTTTACACCCGAACACTTACGAGTTTACACGAACACCGACGTGTTCGGCGTTCGGCGCTCTGATTGGCCGGCTCTAATGAACCAACCAATCAGAGCACAGAACACCGTCTCGTTTCGATTACTTTAAACGAGAAAGAAACTCGTACTAAGGCCTCTGAGCCAGAACCAGCAGATTAACGTACTCTTTTCTGTCAAATTTCTTTATTATTTCGATATAAAGTCGGAAATCGAATAAAATATATAGATTGGAGTTTTTTAACCTGCTGGCTGATTTTCCAACTCATATTTCATTGCTACCGCTACTACATTTAAAGTATTTATTCAATTAGTAACATTTTTCATCAGATTGATAGAAAGTCGGATAAAAGAATCTCTGCAACAAGACAAGGGGCAAGGGTGCAATGTGCCACAACTGGACCCGTTTGCTGAGGAGTTGGTGGCCTTGGAGAAGAAGAAGAAACGTCCTAATATTGTGTGCAACGATCCCGATTGGGTGAAATGTTACGTGAGTACAATTTTTATAAACAATTTATTTTTATGGAAAGTTGGCGAACGAGCACCTCATGGTAAGCAATCGGCGTCGTTCATGGACACCCAAAACACCAGAGGTGTTAGTGAAACAAGTGAATTTATACCTTACCAGCCTTAGGGGATTAATTTGAGGATTATTGTATCCTCTTCTTTTCGCAACTTTTATTAATTCCATCTCTGACCAACTTCTATCTTCCTACCACCTTTATGCAGATGATTTGCAGATTTACGCGCAGGCACCGCTCGAAGAACTCTTGGAAGCAGTCAAAATGATAAATGCCGACCTGACTTCAATATCCAACTGGAGCTCGACTTACGGGTTAAAAGTGAATCCAGCAAAGACTCAGTTGTTATCGGCAGCCCCAGACAGTAGCTAGAATTAACTGGACGCATATTCCACCGGTCACGTTTGATGGAACTACAATCCGTACAGTAAATTTGTCAAAAATCTGGGTATCTTTGACAGCACTTTGTCCTGGGCTCCACAGATTCAAGAACTGAGTCGCAAAAATCTTTGCATCGGCGGCGTCCTTAAGAAGACTTCGCAATTTTTTACCAATCGCACTAAAACTGCGCTTGCTCAATCTCTCCTTTTCCCATCTTGGACTACGCTGATGCCTGCTACCTTGATCTAACAGAGGCACAACTGGACAAACTTGAGCGTCTCCAAAATTTCTGTATAAGATTCATATTGGCTTGCGCAAATATGACCATGTCTCGGATTTCCGTAACAAGCTCAAGTGGCTTCCTATCCGTCTTCGCCGGAATACGCATATCCTGTCACTTCTTTACAGTATTCTGTACAATCCTGCTACGCCTCTTATCTCAAAGAACGTTTTAAGTTCCTTCATGACGCACATTCAAGACACTTGAGGTCTACTGCGAATTTGAGATTGGAGATGCCAACACATACGACTGCCTTTTATGACAAATCCTTTGTTGTAGGAGCCTTCGACTGTGGAACGCACTTCCATTATCAATAAGACGGCGCAATCTTTGGATTCGTTTAAAAGACAAGTAAAAGATCATTATCTAACACAGATTCAATAGAGTAACTGCTACCGCATATCCGTATGTATGTATGTATGTATCTGATTTTGTGTATGTATGTGTATGTATATATATATGTATATATGAGTATGTAGGCATGTATGTATGTGTGTACATATTGTATGTATGTATCTAAACTGTTCTGTCATATCCATTGTATTTAATTCAACACTATGAACTACCCACATGGTATCTGCTCTCACGGTTATTTATCCATCCTAAGGTTGCCTGGAAGAGATTGCTGTAAGCGATAAGGCCGCCCATTGTGCAACATGCCAAAACTATTTTTTTTTTTTTACCTACCTACTATTTTCTTGTTCGTGTCTTTTGTAAGTGGTGTACAATAAAGTGTTTATTATTATTATTATTATTATTATTATTGGGGATTCGGAGATTGGGCCTCCGGTAAACTCATTAACACGACGAAAGACAACGCATGTGTTGTTTCACGTCACGTCACGTCGTCGGTTTTCTGTGAGACACACACCCACCAACACACATACACACACACACACATACACACACACACACACACATAGATACACACACCAAACTTCAAAAAACTTCAGCTTTATATATTAGTAAAAAAATAAACATAGATGTTCTTAGCATTTACCATCCAGCTAATTATGTTTTTAATATTTTCAGATATCTAAATGTTGGGTAGTAAAAGATATACTAGAGACGACAACGGATTTAGTCTGCACGTACCAAGATATATTGTATCAGTCTGACTGGAAATACCACCTGGGACCTGTAAGGACAATACAAAATCACGGCTTCTTTACTCTTGACAAGAGCGATCATATCAAGATCAAGTGTACGGGTAAACGTGGCGATAGGTAAGTGTATATAAACTTTATATTATATACTAGCTACTTCCGTTTTTCGCTCTGCTCAGTGTCTATTGAGCATAGCGTGCCGGCCACCGTAAGCACGGGCCTGCAGACGGCGAGCATGGGTAGCTCGCCGCCAAAGAGCCATCAGACCACCACGGATGGGGCCAATAGGGCTGATGGCGATACGGAGCCGCGGAGAACTTAACGGGTTACCGGGGCTCCGGCTCGAAGTATAGGAGTAGGAACGGGGTGGTTTTATGTCAGTATGAGTCTGACACTCCCTCCCGCCTCACCCAGGCGGGAGCAGTCATTCGATAATTTTCCCCCCTTAAAAAGACGTAAAACCCTAAAAAGGCCTATAACCTTCCACTATACATGGACTATCCAACACAAAAGGATTTAAGTAAGATCGCGGGTTACTCACGTGAATATACTGAGAAAAGCTCTACTAGTTTCGAACCACAGAGGGGGTTCTTCCTCATGGGCAGCGTGCGCGGTCGCGGCGACGTCGCGCAGCTTATTTTAGTACATTTTACTTAATTTAGTATGTCTCACGATAGTTATTATGAAAACAAAAGGATTTGTTCAAATCGAACCAGTAGTTCCAGATATTAGCGCGTTCAAACAAACAGACAAACAAACCAACTCTTAAGCTTTATATAATAGTAGTAGTAGTAGTAGTTATAGCTTCCGCCAGCGACTTCGCCCGCTACAAACCATAATCTACCTTCGTTCCAAATTTCATCCCGGTCCCTTCACCCGTTTTGATGTGACTGAGTAACAAACATGCAGACAAACACACAAACTCACATATTTTCACATGTATAATATCGGTTCAAGCTAATTTCAATCATCGGCCCTACAGTTACAGAGTAAAGTCCAAGGCGGGCAGCCTAACATACGACAAACTTATATTTGCGTTTAGTCACGCCCTTTCGTTTGACATTCATAATGGAGATAGTTGTAGAAAAAATAGATACTTAATATTGTGTGGTCATCAATATTCGAATCTGTATCAAATATCTGACTAAGACTCGGCCAACGCCGAGTGGTCTCGGGTTTGGTTGGGTCGGGCAAAACATTACTGGGTTTTAAAAAATCTCAGTAGTAGCACGAAGTCTGGAATTGTGCCCGGTATATGGCAATAGGCTCACCCCCTATTACATGGGACTCATAACATAAATAGTGAAAAGTGGGTGTTAGATTGTACAGTGGCATAATGTGCACCTCTGCCTACTCCTTCGGGGATAAAAGGCGTGATGTTATGTTATAAATTTACTAATAACCAACTCTCATTTGTGCTCTCACGAACACTGTCGGTTAGTCATTAAAAACTCAAAGCTAACAAGGAGACTAGATTAAATAAGTGCCGTAATGTGCACCTCTGCCCTACCCCTTAAACTGTCAAACACCAAGCGGTCACCGGTGACCGCGACCTATTGTTCTTTAATTGTGTCTATAAAACCGGTACTCGACGAGTTAAGGGATAAAAAGGCGTGATGTTATGTGATGTTATCAAATATCAGCTCGATCTGTCGCCAGGAAAGGTATAAAATTCCAATGAAATTACTAAATTTGATCCAAACGAATGGGCCAAACTAACTAAAATTGTTTAATTATATTATTTGTTGCAGTAATTCGTATACGACATGGTACGGTTACCACGTAGGTTTTCGTAAGTCAGTGGAACGGTTTCCGACTCCACCAGGAAGAGAGGACACCTACAACGTGATGATATTCGGCTTCGATTCCACCTCCAAGTTAGGAATAATACGCAACTTACCCAAGAGCTTCGACCACATCAAGAATCACTTGAAGGCAACTGTTATGGATGCGTAAATATTCATGTCATTATTTTATGGTGAATCATATTGATGATTCCACTGCCTCACTGGCCGAGTGGTCTCGAGTGCGACTGCGACTAGGACTCTCGGGTTAGACTCCCGGGTCGGGCAAAGTATTACTGTGTTTTTCAAATTCTCAGTAGTAGCGCGGAGTCTGGGAATGTGCCCGGTATAAATGGCAATAGGCTCACCCCCTATCACATGGGACTCATAATATAAATAGTGAAAAGTGGGTGTTACTTCTATGTGCACCTCTGCCTACCCCTTCGGGGATAAAAGGCGTGATGTTATGTATGTATATTACATGGGACTCATAACATAAATAGTGAAAAGTCGGTGTTATATTGTACAGTGACAGTGGCGTCGGTTTTCTGTGAGGCCGTGGTATCACTCCGGTCGAGCCGGCCCATTCGTGCCGAAGCATGAATCTCACACGTGATAATCACGACTGCACGCTTAGGGCGGTGGCTAAGCAACTGGCTGCCGTGCACCGAGTCGCGGGTTCGATTCCTGCGCGGAGCTCTTTTTGTGATCCACAAATAGTTGTTCCGGGTCTGAATGTCATGTGTATATGAAATTGTATGTCACGACACAAGACAGTCCAAGTTTTATAAAATCATAAACGAGGTACGTCCCTTTCTAATAAAGGAACGTATTTCTTATTTTGACCTGTATGTGTTTGTGTATGAATCGTACATACAATACAATACAGTATGTTGATTGTTTGCCAGCAATAGGGAAGATGACTAAAATCATTACACACGTATTTTTTATTTTTTTACACATCGAATACTTTCGGCGATATATTGATTTGAAATGTCGCGTGACGTCACTTCTATGTACATTTTATACGTAGAAATGACGTTTTAGCCTCCAAGTATCATTTTATTATACATCAACATAAAAAAAAACGTGTCTAATATTTTTTCATTACCTAACTGACGGACTAATTAGATTTATAATTTTCATACCCTGGCATCATCCCTATTATCTCGGATTTGATTGAATACTGACCTAATAAGAGTGTATTAAACTGTCAAACACCAAGCGGTCACCGGTGACCGCGACCTATTGTTCTTTAATTGTGTCTATAAAACCGGTACTCGACGAGTTAAAATGGCCACGTAACTTTTCAGTTACAATATTGTTGGTGACGGTACTCCAGCCGCTTTGTTCCCGATTCTCTCGGGAAAAACTGAACTTGAGCTCCCTGATGTAAGAAAGGCAAGCTCCAACGGTACGCTGGACTCATTCCCCTTCTTATTCTACAAGCTGAAAGAAGATGGGTAAGCCAAAACTCTTTACATAACCCTTACCTTACCCATAACCATCCTCTCGCGTCCAATGCGAAGCAAGGAGGACTGAGATGCCGTCTCCTCCTTTTGCGAAGCAGTCATGCTAGCTAAGGAGAAGGCGGGACGTGACACTCGCTGTGACTGTAGCCGTCGGGAAAGCTACTCCGGGCGTCAGGGATCGCGACACGATCTCTGGCCACCGTAAGCGCGGGCCTGCGGACGGCCAGCATGGGTAGCTCGCCGCCCAACTAGAACCAGACCCGAGCGTTCCGCGTGCGTCTCAAAGAGCTACCAGACCACTACGGATGGGGCCCAATAGGGCTGAAGCCGATACGGAGCCGCGAATAACTTAACGGGTTACCTGGGCTCCGGCTCGATGAGCAGGAATAGGAACGGGGTGGCTTTTAGTCAGTAAGAGTCTGACACTCCCTCTTACCTCACCATAGGCGGGAGAAGGTATTGGATGATTACCCTTAAAGAAATGGATTGGGAATAATATGTAATTTGGGCGTCCGGTAACCTCACTTACGCCCGTGTACTGTGAGGCCGTGGTGTCATTCTGGTCGAGTCGGCCCGACTCTCGCCCCCCACTCTCACGTGTAAAATAATTTATTTATTTATAATAAAAATCAATTACTTTTATTGCAGATATCGCACAGCATATTTCGAGGATATGCCGGGAATAGGAACGTTCCAATACCGGTTCAACGGCTTCAAACGTCAGCCGGCTGATCATTATTTACGCTCTTTCTATCTTGAAATGAACAAAAGGGGCAAATGGCTGAAACAACATCAATATTGTATCGGCGACACACCGCAGTATAAAGTCATGATGAATATTACTGAACAGGTATGTGAGAACCTTCTGATTACTGACCCCATTCAAAGGTTGTCTGCAAGAAACCGACCTGAAACAACGGTGTTGATGTTACCGGAGACCCAATTATCCCCCTCCCCTTCCCCAATCTCCCCTATCCCCAACAATTCTTAAATTCCTAATCCCCAAAAGGCCGGTAAAGCGCTTGTAATACTAATACCTCTGGTATTTCAGATGTCCATGTGCGGCGCCGATTGCTTACCATCAGGTGATCCGTCTGCTCGTATTCCATAAAAAAAAGGAATGGTCTAGTTGTCAAGTACTCAATTTAGTGTTGTTGTTGACAGTTCATGCAACTGGATGGCAAGAGGTTTGGTTTCACGTTCGTCGCTGACATCACACATGACGCGAGCTACATATCACTGGCGGACGATGATTTCTTAATATTGCTGCGTCGACTGGAGGAGAAAGGTCATTTGGAAGACACCCTCGTCATCCTGATGACTGATCATGGACCAAGGTAAGGTTTGAAATCATTTTTGTACGATGTAGGAACGAGCACACATATCACCTGATGGTAAGCAATCGGCGTCGCCCATGGGCACCCGGAATACTTAAGAAGCGTCTGGTTTTAACGGCATTAACGGCTTTTTGGGCGTCAGGGATGTGGGCAATTGCCAATGAGTCCTACTATATTTTTGTCCACGACATGGCGCCAGTGATCCACTCGTTCTTCGTCCAACAAGAAATTAGAAATTCGTTAGTCACTCCACTGGACGTTCAATAGTTGACAATTGCTGTGATTGGACTGAACATCTGTTCCTATATTTGGCTATCTAGGGACCAAACAGTGTGAAGGATCGGTCCTTTGTGAAGGAACCTCCCAAAAACAATGCAACTCCTGTACGCCAGGATCTACAGTAAATACAACCAGGAAAACTCCGGAATACTGAAGTCCAGGGACATGAATAACTCTAACTGTACGGATACCGCAATGAAATAAATCATATAGATTGTTTGTGGGATCATTCGGTAAACGAGCAGACGGATCACTTGATGGTAAGCAATCGGCGTCGCCAGAGGCGTTACAAGTGCGTTACCGGGAATAGGAATTTGAGAGAACGATACTTCCCACTTCCTTCGGTAAATTAATGCAGGAGCCAGAATGACAGGATTATGCCTCCGCTTACCTGACTCTAAAGCCTAAGTTACAAACACAATCATTTTCGATGATACCCGACCCATTATGCTTCATCATTATAAATAGCCAGAGAGCTGCTTCATCATCGCTTGGCAATCGGGTAAGACATCGCAGTTTAAAAGGTTCTAGTTCATTATGACTGCGTCGTTGGCCAAGTGGTCGCCCTGGGAATCGAACCCGAGACACCTTGCCTGACAATCGCACTTGCGACCACTCGACCAACGAGGCAGTCGCGCGACTGTAAAACAATAATAATAATCATAACTGTTAACCGCAAAGTAGGGTGTTTTTAAAAAATATTAGACACGTATTTTTTTATTTATCGTATTAAGTTGCAATACTTAGATAAAATGGCGCTAAGTTTAGGAGTGGGAGGTCGTTACGTCATAACGTGCTAGAAAATGTGGCACGCTGTGACGTCACACGATATTTCAAATTAATATATCGTCGAAAGTATTTAATTTTGTGAAAAAATTAAAAATACGTGTCTAAAGTTTTAAATTAATGTACGAGACGAACATTGAAATAAAATTCAGGAAACTACCCTATTACATCAAAGAGACATAAAATAATAATAATAATTTTTATTGAACCAAGAAAAAGTTTAAATACCTACCATGTAATTTACATAATGATATCATGAATACAGTTTTTAGCATCTGTTGCTGAAATAGGTCAATAACATTTATTCATCATCTTCAACAGCCTATAAATGCCCACTGCTTAGCAAAGCCTCTTCTCACACGGTGAAGGTTTGAGCATTAATCACCACACTTGCTCAATGCTGGTTGGCGATTTACAAACTTATAATTAGAAATTATTAGCCCAGGTTTCCTCACGATGATGTTTTCCTTCACCGTTTGTCAGTGGTGTCTGTACAATCTTAGAAAGTACATATAACTCGGAAAAAGTCACATTGGTCGCCGTTGGTAGGTTTCGAACTCGCGCCCTCATGCATGAGAAGCGGGCATCTTAAACCTCCGGGCCACCACGACATTCAATTTTATTTATTAATAATAAAATGTATTAGTAGTAATTAATTTAGTTTTAATGTGTTTCACGAAAGTATATAGAAGGTCTTTGGTCTGTAGTGGCCAGCAGGCTGTTGATGGTATCTGAGAAACATTGTAACCTATCTTTTTTTTTTTATAACATCACGCCTTTTATCCCCGAAGGAGTAGGCAGAGGTGCACATAGAAGTAACACCCACTTTTCACTATTTATGTTATGAGTCCCATGTAATAGGGGGTGAGCCTATTGCCATATACCGGGCACATTTCCAGACTCCGTGCTACTACTGAGATTTTTAAAAAACCCAGTAATACTTTGCCCGACCCGGGAATCGAACCCGAGACCCCTTGCCCGGCAGTCGCACTTGCGACAACTCGGCCAACGAGGCAGTCCCTATCTATGTTATGTATTTTTAATAACTATAGAAATAAAAGAAATGCCCTCTTAATATTGATTTTCATTTATTTATAAAAAAGGACGATACAAATATAGACCTTAATTTCACATAATTAAGTTTTTATATTGAGTAATAATACAGTATAGAATTTAGTATTAAAAACAAAGAAAAACAACATATGAATAACTAGATTAGATTGATCATAAAAATACTAAAAATAGACTGCCTTATTTAAAGAGAGCTCGCAATTATTAAGCCCGAAACATCGGGTTCGATTCCCTAACGGCCGAAATGAAGTTTTTGATAGAAACTCCATACAACTAATGTAAACAATGTTAGGATTGAGAGAAGTCATTAATTTCGGCTGGAAGTCAATCACAATAACTGTATTGTTAGAATCCAAACAGAAATTGCGCATATTAACAGTTTAACAATATTTCACCCGACCCGATACAATGCTCGATTGATAAAATCGAGTCATACATACAAAAACAGTTACAACACTATTCTTATTTCTACACAACATAACATTCATAATAATATAAAACAAAGAATCACTGTTAAAAAAAAATTAAGGTTAGATCCGACATAAACTTTGTTGGCTTAGATTAAAACAAGTCTTTGTTATGCATCTGTAATGAGTAGGGCTTCGTACCTTTTAATCAGTTTATTGATCAACGTTAAAACTGACGGGGCCCTTTTCAGCAAATGGCTTATAAAAACATCGCTGGGTAACGACGTACGGTCCAAAACGGTAAACATCTTATAAATAAATGTCCCATTGTACACCCTACTGTAACACGTTTCCATGTAAGGAGATCCGCATAGCTTATTCAAATAATTCATTTGCTGCAAACAGAATTGAAACATATCGAAACTTTTCATTTTGTCACCGTCATAAATCTCCCCAGCTTCAAAACGGCGAGTCTCAAAAAAGTTTTTAGTAACGCGATTTGCTTCTCTCACGTCTTCTGCTAACAGACCAGTGTCCACTAGGTTATCAAGTCTATGACCGTTCAACAATACGTAACACATTATAATTGCTCTAGCCTCCTTCGATGCATCCTCTTTCCTACGACCATAATACACCAGTGATATGATCAGCAGGACACAGTCTTCTGGAAGATTCGATAACATTCCAATATTTATACCCTTATTTTCTAAGAAATACTGAAATAGATTCCAACGGTTTATTTCTTCCCAGCCATTTTCGAACACCGATACTTCGCAATCGTAATTGGGTCGCGGTAGACACGGATCAACTGTACTTATCTCTGTATAATTTTCGTTGTCATGGTACACTTTTAAAGTACTCTTTTTGTAATTAGTTAGAAGGTTGTAGGCGTATCTTATAATATCAGTTGAAAGTAGTAAACTGTCTGTGTTGTCGTTATTGTTGTCTTCCCTGTCGAACCACGAGCCTTGGACAACTTGCCATTTAAACAGGTTCACGTACGCACTCGGTACGTATTCGCAAACCACCCCCTTCTCAAACCAGTCCGGGTCTTTGATGCCTATATCAAGTTGGGAGTTGATTAGGTAATCAGTCGCAAAACCACCTTCCGTTTTCGTCATGTTTCTTAATATACATCCATGTATTTCCCAGAATTTACTTCTGTCCTCTTCGTTTGTCAAATATTCTGTAATACTACGACTGATTTCTTGCTCTTCGTGATTCGATAACCACGAGATCAGCTGTTGATTTTTTACGTGATATTCTTCGTCTAGAACATTCCAAGACTCTAGTAAAGTGTCAAAAAAGTTACCAGGAAATATATTACTATCAGACAGAACACCGAATATAACCAATTTGTTTTTAGTCAGTTTATGTATCTTGAGGAATTTCTGCAGTGTGTATCTACGACATTCAATTGTATTTGTCTTGCTGTTAAATTTCAATGTAGGTTCCGGAATGTAAGGCGCTGATTTGAAGCAATACTCTATATCGCTACTGATGATAGGACATCCTAATCTTGTCGCTAAAGCAACGCAATCATCTTTGCTTTCTGTAATACAGAATGCGTGTTCTAGGCCCATGTCGTGTACTATTTGTACACTAGTGTCTCTTAATAGGATAGGTCGTAAAAATTCATACTTAGCATTTGGATCATAGGCAAAACGACCAAATTTTTTAATCTTCTTGTTGATGTTCGTGTCACCGCCTTTGAACACGAAGTAGCATTTTACGTTGGCCCTTTTGAACATACTCATTAGTTTATCGTGCACGTGAGTTGCGTATCGATCCATATCACCACCAAACGTGAAAGGTATCCTAGACAATTGATACTTACAATGGAAATAGTTTTGCCCGTCGATCACGACGCTGCAATTCTTTAAATTAAACTCCTCTGCCGACTCGACAACTGATTTCCAAAAGTGTATAATCCTCATCTTTATATCTGATTCCTGCAACAGACAAAATGTCATTTTAGTATCTAATATTATTTTAGATATTTTTTGGTAAAAAAAAGTTTTAAAGTTTTTTGCATGACTATAATTTGTTATTATGGGAGCTAGTCTCAATTCGTTATGGGAAAAGGTATAGGATCCGACATAAAACGACCTTCACCGAGGTGCTTATTTGATGAAACATAGTTATATATATTATTTTTTTTTTTTTTAAACAACGTTGCCCCACACTAGGACTTTCTCCTACGTCATGGCTGCGTTTACCAACATCAATTTCTATCTGGGTATCATGTGTATGTGACGTACGACACTCAGACCCAAAACAACAATTTGTGGACCACACAAAGTGTTGTTCCGTGCGGGAATTAAACCGGCTAGACGTTGCGCGGCGGCCGGTTGTCAGGCACCGCACCATCAGTGCAATGCAATCTGATCTTAAGTATGCAGACAGGTTACTTACAAACTGTTATCGTCGCTTGCTATTTTAAGCGCATTTGTTACATGATATTAAATTATTTTGTATTGAATTAACATCACGCCTTTTGTCCCCGAAGGGGTAGGCAGAGATGCACACAAAAGTAACACCCACTTTTTTACTATTTATGTTATTAGTCCCATGTAATAGGGGGTGAGCCTATTGCCATATACAGGGCACAATTCCAGACTCCGTGCTAATACTGAGATTTTTTTAAAATCCAGTAATACTTTGCCCGACCCGGGAATCGAACCCTAGACCCCTTGCCCGGCAGTCGCACTTGCGAGCACTCGGCCCACGAGGCAGTCAGTGTATTGAATTACTGTATCATAATCTACCTAATTCTGTCTCTTAAGTACTTAATTCATCACTCTACATACATAATTCATAACTCATTTGCCACATGTGCGAGTGTTCATTGTCCAGAAGAAGTGTGTTCGTGCAATGTTTAATGTTGACTGGTGTGATTCATGTAGACCCGCATTCCAATCAAATAGCCTCTTAACGGTTCCCTGTATTTATATTTACGAGATTTCTAAATTTGTGAAAAATAATCCTCAATTTTTTGTGTCTAACAATAATGTAAATAAAAGAAAAGCTACTCATCTAGAATTTCAGTTACCTGTTCCTAGATTAGAGTTATTTAGACGAAGCTGTATTTACATGGGTCCCTTAATATATAACTCTTTACCAAAAACTATCTCCGGACTACCTTCAAATAAATTTAGTGTAATGCTAAGAAAATGGTTATGTCAGCAATGTTTTTACTCAGTTGACGAATTTCTAGCAAAAAACCCATGTAAATTCTACAATTGTGAGCGATCTGTGAGGTATAGACTGTAAACTTATAATTTAGATAAATTGTTAAATGTTCTATTTCTGTGACAAGTATTTGAAATGTATAAAGATTTGCATGTCGCCAAGCGGCAAGATGTATATGGCACCTTGACTATGTTATTATTATCACCATTATGTACCTACATTTTATGCAAATAAAGATTCTATTCTATTCTATTCTATTCATGAATCGCTGGCAACACAGCTGTCATGTAAACAGACCGCGTATTTAAAAAATCATAGATAATTAAATAGTAATGTAATGGAAATAATCAAGTATGAATGTTAATATACAGTCAGTTATCTTTAAGTGGAAATATTAGTGGCCACATAAAAGCAGTGTAATTATAGATAACCATGTTTTAGAGTGTGCGTTACAGCGTTACCCAGGCCAGATGCTGTCGAAAATGGTCATTTGAATCTTATAGATAATTAGTTGTGCGGCTTATTTACTTCATCTAGACAACTAATTTTATAGCTAGTAATTATTTAAATATTCCCATTAGAATGAAAAAGGTCTGGCTGGGGTAACGTTACCCCAGCAGGAAATGTTTTTGTGAAATAATTAAAAAACTATAAGCGCAACAAATTTAAAAATGTGCGCAACAATTACAGAAGCCACACAACTAATTGTCTTTTTAATATTTCACTGCTGTTACTATTAAACAAATACCATTCCAATTGAAACTATAAAGCCCATAGAATATGGGATTGGGCCTCTCGGACCCAGGTATAAACAAGTAAATAAGTGATAGTAGTATTTTGCACCGGTTTGATAATAATTAATGAGTTAAGTTTATTATTTCAGTTACAGTCGATTAATTACTAAATATATACAACTTAAGATACAAAAAGACAAAAATTTAATAAAAAATAAAAGTAAACTAAAAATAATAATAATTTTTTTTTTTTTTTTTTTTGATTTTATTGTCCTGCAATCTGTCTCTAACGAACATTCAGCACATGGTCAAGAGTTTAATTTAATTTGTCTTGTAGGGTCACCAGTCCAGCGACGTGGGCCCTTTAGAATTCATCCCTTACAGGTCTCTAGGGGCCTTTCGTTTTAGCCTTTTGAATGTGGAGTTCATATTCATTAAGTGCATTGCTAGAGTGTTTGGGTGGTTGTTGAGCCTTTTTCTGTAGGATATCATAGACTGTTTTATCTCTTCTTGAACCGTTCTGATTTTAAGGTCATGGTGTAATTGTTGGTTAGTTATAAACCAAGGAGCATTAGTAATTATCCTCAGCATTTTGGACTGGAACCTCTGGAGTATTTCTATATTAGAATTTGAGGCAGTGCCCCAGAGTTGGATTCCGTAGGTCCAGATCGGTTTTAGGATACTCTTGTATAACAGTAGTTTGTTTTCGAGTGATAGCTGCGATTTTCCGCTGAGCATCCAATACATTTTCCTCAGTTGGATTCCCAGTGCTTTTCTTTTAGTAAAAATATGCTTTTTCCAGGTGAGGCTACGATCCAAATACAGTCCAAGGTATTTGGTTTCATTTGCTTGAGGTATTTGTTGCCTATTCAGCGTTACTGGGGGACATGTTCCACGTCGCATCGTAAATGTCACCTGTACTGACTTTGTCTCATTCGCCTTTATACGCCAAGTATTGAGCCATTCCGTGATGTTGTCCAGGGAGAGTTGTAGCATGTTACTTGCTTGTTTTGGTTCGTCATGGTAGTTAAGGCTGCAGTGTCGTCAGCAAAAGTGCCAATCACAACTCCATTTGTCATAGGCAGGTCTGAAGTAAAGATTAGGTACAGTATCGGACCAAGTACGCTCCCCTGTGGCACTCCTGCGTGCGCCCTATAAGTTTGGATGTGTCCTCCTTGTTTAACATAAAAGTATCTTTCAGCAAGGTATGACTTTAAGAAGACATAAAAGTTTGTAGGCAGTAGTTTTTTTATTTTATATAAGAGACCTTCATGCCAGACTCTGTCAAAGGCTTGGGAGATGTCCAAGAAGGCTGCACAACAGTATTTCTTATTTTCAAAGGCTCTGTGTATTTCTTCTACCAGTCTATGTACCTGCTCGATCGTGCTGTGACGTTTTCGGAAACCAAATTGGTGGTCGGGTATGATTTTATTTTCTGCTATTACTTTGTTCAAGCGTTTCAAAAAGAGTACCTCCATAACCTTTGAAAGGATGGGCAGTAGACTTATCGGTCTGTAGGACGACACGTCCGCAGGAGATTTACCAAGTTTAGGGATCATTTTAATTTGTGCAATCTTCCATTGGGATGGAAAGATTCCCTGATCAGAATGCAATTGAACAGGTTCCTCAAAAATTGGACTGCCACTTTTGGTAATTCCGCAGGATTTTGGTAGTGATCAAGTCATATCCAGGGGCTTTATTTTGAGGTAGATTTTTTAATTGTGTCCATAACCTCGCTTGTCTTTATTCTATCTATTGGCAGGTCAAGTTGATAGGGCTCATTAAGGGCTTTAATTACTTTCTGATTAATACTCGATGAAGTCTGAGTTAAATTTGGCATAAAGACGTCAGCAAGATGAGAGGCAAATGCCTCTCCTTTCTCCTCGTCACTTTTTGCCAAGAACCGTCCCTTTTGCGTATTGGTGGGTTAGAGGCAATAGGCCTTTTAAGTTTTTTGGTCGCTTTCCAGAGGGAGTAGTCACTAGAAGCCGTGGCATCGAGATGGCTTAGCTCATTCTGTACAATATTATTTCTTTCAACTTGCAGTAGTTTTTTAAGTTTTGTTGATAAGTTGTTCAGACGTGATTTGTCCTTGGGGAATCTGGTAATTTGCCATAGTTTTCTAGCCCGTCTCTTTTCGGCCACTAGTTCACTAACAGCTTTTGAGCAATCTGGTTTTGAATATTTCTTAGGGGCAGGTGTGCTATCCCAAGCTGCTTGTTGGACACACTCGTTGAAGTGTTCCACTGCTGCCATTGTGTCCACTTCATTTTTAAGTGCTATATTGGTATTTATCGTTGATTCTACCATTAAGCGGAAATTGTCCAGTTGGTTTTACGTCCGTGTAGCTTAGGTGTAGGTTTAACAGACGAAATTTTATGGGAGAATTCGAGTAAAATCACGCTATGGTCAGATGAAAGATCTTGAAGGGAAATGCATTTAAAATTGTTAGTAGGAAGACCCTTAATGACACTGAAGTCTACCAAATCGGGCACTTTCTTTGGGTCTGTCGGCCAATAGGTTGGTTCCCCGTTTGATACTACATCTAGTTGTAGATCGTTTATAGCTGCTTGTAGCTGGCGTCCTTTGGGAGTAGTTAAGCGTGAGCCCAGGAGTATTTTTGGAATTATAGTCTCCACCAGCTATAAATCGTGGTCCTAGTGTCTTGAAGAAGGTGATGTAATTTTCCTTTTTGATGGCATGTTTTGGAGGAGAATACAGTGCTGTGACCGTTAAGTATCCCCGCCAGTCTTCTATTACAACACTTGTTGCTTGAATCTCAGGGGTTTGAAATGGCTTCGCTTCATGGTGTTTTATATTTTTCTTAATGAGAATCGCGGATCCTCCATGCCGTACCGTCTGGATGC